GTGATGTATTTTTCTTCTATGGGGCGGAAGAAGGCCGACGCGTCGCCGTAGCAGCACACCCTTCCGCCTCCATCAGGCCCGGCGTCAAGGAGGACGAGGACGGCGAAGGAGCGACGTCGCTGAGCATCTTGCGTCGCTTGCAAGAGCGCTGCAAGCCTCCGGAGGCGAGGTCGGATGGGGGCGGGTTCCAGGCCAGGGTGGGGGGCACTCGGACCGGGACTCGGGCGTCCCGGCGGCCGTTGCACGCCCAAGCGTCGCCGTCAACGGCCTCAGCCTGTGTCGGGAGGCGCGGGCAGACCGGGGAGCTTGGCTTGTCAGCAGAGTTGGAAGCCGTAGGGCTGTTGTTGCTGCTGCCGGTGGTGCTGCTGCTGCTTCGGCTAGTGTTGGTGCTGGGAGTGGTTTCCCCTTCGCCTGCCATGGGATTGGCAGCGTCGTCCCTGGCGTTGTCGTCGCCCTTGGCCTTGTCTTCCCCATCTTGCCGAGTGCCTTTGACTTCCGCCGTGGTGGAGGAGGGCGCGGAGGCGGCACACGAACCACCGCTGCTGTTTCCGTTGATGGCGCTGCGCAGGAGAGGGGACGCAGAGCAAGGAGGCTGCGTCTTCGGGGCATGGCCATCCCCACCCTCGAGACAACCCGAGTTGTTGCACTCGTCCGCGCGGTCGCTTCCGCCGTCGTGCGATTGATCGCCGTTCGAACCACCGCTGTGCTGATGATCTACGGCTGCTTGACTGTCGCCGTTCTCCGTCCGAGCGGGGTCGCCGCCATTTTCAGTCCCAGCAGCGGAGTCCCCGATTCCCGGGCTCTCGGACCGGTGGTAGTCCATGGACAGGTGAGGGGTCATCATCCTGGAGGACAGTGGGGAAGACATGGGCGAGACCCGCTTGCCCCTAACCGGCGAAGACGACACCGACGACGACGGGGAGTGGGCGAGGTCTCTGTCCCGAGCCGAGATGGTCAGCATGGACCGCCCCCCGGCCTCCGCTCCGTTCCTGCCACGGCCGTTGTCTTGCTCCGCTGGCGAGTCGCCAAACCCGCCCGATGATCGCTTCCAGGTCTCCTTCGCCACCCTCGTCGGCGACGAATGGAAGGCAGTCGCCAGCCCGGACAGCAGGCTCTTGGCGTGGTCCGCTTCGTCCTGCTTGAAAGGGGTCTCGCCCCGCTTCAGCAGGGCCGCCGCTGCCGCCGCCGCCGCCGTCGCCGCCGCCACGGCGCCCTCGCTGTCTCCGTTGGAGGTCCAGCTCCGGAAGTGCTCCGCCGCCTTGCTGTGGACCGCGCGGTCCGCCGCCGCCGAAGCTGCGGATTCGAAATCCTTTGATTCGGTTCCAAAATTGTCTCCGCGGCCACAATCACCAGCCGCCGCCTCTGCCCCCCCAAGCCGGCCAGGCGTATCGCTGCCATCACCTTCGCCACCCAAAGCTTCGCCAGTCTCCACTTCCGCCGCTGCTGATGCCGCCGCCGCTGCCGCCGCCGCCGTGGCTGCCATTTTTCTCTCCATATTCCTCTTGGCAGCCCCGCCAAGCTTTCTGCGGACGAGGGGCGACCTAGCGTTGGGCGGCGGATGCGGTCCGGCCGGGGTGCGATTGCGGCGCGCCTCGGTTCTCTCTTCTCTCGAAAGCGAACTCTTGGGGGCTCCGTCGTAGTACACGAAGTCAGACTGGTGGGGGGGGGGCGGAGAGAGAAATGATGGGCCTTCTTCAGGTGGGGCAAGAGGTGCTTGTTCGGGGGAAAGGTGCGGGACAACCAGTAATTGGCGTTGCGTATGATACGGTGTTCCGGGTGGTGCCTCTGGCCAAGTTGCAGATTCGGTGGAACTATGGCCAACACGAGTACGATACCATCGACATGGTTGATACATAAGTAGAAGTTCGAGCATCTCTTTGCCTCTGCTTGTCTGTGCCTCTGTCTCTGCCCGCAAATCCCTCGTCTCCACCTGTCCCATCTGACCCGCCGAGATGCGCACCTTTGGTGTGGCGGTTTTCGCCAACACCACGGCTTTTCGCTTGTCGTTGGAGCCACACCCGCTGCCTGATGCACCTCCATCTCTATCGCTCCCTCCCTTTTTCGGGTGCTTGGTCTCCGCTTCGCTCCTTTCCGCTTCGGACCCACCGCCGGACCCCGGGCCGTACATTTTACTGATGACAAAAAACAAGACCAACCGAAGCAAGAAGCGTAAGAGAGGACCCAAAACACTCTAGCGATGAACCTACAAGCAGCAAGATTTCAACAATATTTGGTAGTGAACACAACACCATGCGGAATCTGCCGCATACGTGAACGTTCCAGAGGACGAGGCGGCGGCGACAGTGAGTGACCGCGTGCATTTGTGAGTGGCAACAGCGGGGCGTCATGATCTCCAGGAGTTGCTGGTATCATGTATGCATCGCCTCGACCGCGGAAACCGGTGTGTTTCGAAACAAAAAACGGTCGACAACAATCAACATACTGAGCACCAACAACGCCCATCGCCTTCCCCTCTCCAAAACACTAACGCTGGCACACAAAGCTTCTCCGCCCATTCTTTGCGCTAGCCGTTGATACTTGATTGGCCGGCCTGTCTACTTACTTGAGCCACTTGCGGGCGGGTGCGACCTCCTGGGTATGGGTGTGTACCCGGCGGATGCGGTCCTTGCTCTTCTGCGCAACGTGAGTTCCACCGAGAACAACGTCACCGGCAAAGGCGAAGGCAGCGGGACGGCAGCAATGTCAGTGAAAGGGCGAGGGCGGGAACTCGGACGAAGACATGCAAAGCTCGATTCCCTACAACACGCCCAGTGATGATGGTAAAAAATCGTGCCAAGTTACGGCCTGATCCCCGAACCACCTCCAACCAAGTCGGGGGATGGGGGTAACGAATACCATACACGTCAGGTTTCTCGAACTGGCTGCTCAGCATTGAAGCGCCAGCGGGTAGTTGGGCCAGCCAGGGGCACATGACCGAAAAACGTGGAAAAACTAATAGCTGCAAACGCAAATACTGCCCGGCAAAAAAGCATCATTTTATCACCACAACAGATGTACCACGCGATCTTCTTCTCGAAAGTTCAACACAGAACAACATGCCGCAAAAAAAGCAAGAAAATCAAGAAAAGTATGCAGTTTCGCGGCCACCATCAGGCACCCTCCCCTAACCCCCAGCCTGTAACCGGCCATAAAAACGCACCGCCACCAAACGCACCTTGGACACCCACTGGTTGTATCTCTCCGACCAGCCGAAGAACTGCACCAGCACGCGGTCTCCCTCCCTGTCTTCCTTGATTACCTTAGCGGGGTACCACTTGTGCGTCTGGTTGCAGAAAACATCGATCCAAGAGCTCACGACTAGCGCCTTCTCCTCGACGATAGCGGAGCCGGCAATGACCGAGGCCTCCATGTCCTCCTCGTCCACAACCTCTGCCACCTACATTTGAGGTTTCAAATAACAAACAGGCCATTTAGGAGGACACACGTCGAAAGCGGGGCAGGGGGGAGCGACCGGCTGATAGCATTAACCTGATGAACAAGAGCAACGCACGTGGTGCCACGACTTCGGTTTTGCTGAGCTCACACCACACATTTTCCTGACTTCGCCCATTCCATCGCACGGCTGGCTAGGCTACAAGAGAGCAACGATGACAGCGACGGGCAGCATCGCACACAAACGAATACCAAAGACAAAAATGATGACCGTAGTGAAGCTTCGAATGATACAAGACAAACATTTGACACGTTGTACAAATAACATTCCATAAGAACATTGCATGTACACACTTCCAATATGAACGACGGAACAAAGCTCACGTCACAGCTGGCCGTCTCTGGATCCCAGGTGTTGTTTTCGCAAGTCCACAACTCTGGGAGCGTTTCAGGGTCGATGTGCCAGGGTATTCTCCTCCATTTGAGGCACCTGTCGCACTGAGCCCACGGAGTGGGTGTGCTGTTCTGCGGCCCGTCCTCCTGTTCCACCGACGCCGACCCAGACATGTGTTGTTTAAAACAGTCATGAGAGGTGAGACGTGCACGGATCTGCCGAAACAAAACCTTGCCATATATCGTGGTCACCCATGCCCGTTGGTCGATCAAACATCCAAGTCAACGTGCGGTGAAACACAAATCATGACCTTCGTTCAAAACCGAAACGCAAGGCGTCAGCAGCCGGGCCCGTCGCTGCCCTTCTCTCTCCTCGGCCCGACTGCCCCCACCTGCGCCCCCAAACTCCCGACCACCTCCACCTACCCCACAGCCCCCGCCCGCACAAGCATCATACACACCTCCATCCTCAAAGTGATCGCCCCCTCGTCCCCGTTAGCGCCTTCCGAGAGCCCGGTCTCCCGCTTCAAGATCTCGATCACCTCCTTGAGCCCCTGCGTGTCCTCCAGAGTCGCGTCTACCATGGGGCTTCCGAGGAGCACAAGCCCGCCGGCGGGGGCCGCCATCCCCGCGGCCGCCCCTGCCCCCTTGCCACCGAACCCGGCGCGTCTACCCTTTCCGGTGAACTTCCCCCCCGGTCCCCTGCTGCCGCCGCTGCCGGGCGCGTCGCCCTTGGGGGAGGCGGCCGATTCGGCGCCGCCGCCGCCGCCGCCGCCGCTACCGGCACCGGCGTCTCCTGCCGCCGAACGGTCTCCTCGATCTTCGCCTACAGCGGCGGCGGCAGAGGCGGCGGCCTCCTTGGCAGCGAGCTCTTCCGGGTCCTCCTTGCCGAAGGCGACGTCGAGCTTGGCGGGCCAGGGGTGCTTTCTCTGCTCTGGGTCTTCCAGGTGGGTCACGAGGAGTTTCCGCTGGTCCTTGGTGTAGCTGCCGATGCCCTCGTACGCCTCTAGGACGTCCGGGAGGCGGACACAACTGCGGGGGGGCGCGCGGTTGCGTGGGGGTCCATATAGCAAATGTCGCAGATGTTTGTGTCCGGGGGGAGGCGCGAATGGGACAGGCGGGTGCGAGAGAAAGCAAGGCTTCTGCTCGGCACAACCGGCGCAAGAGAAAAAACACCCGCATGTCCCCACTTCCGATACAATATGAGCGACAAAGGCGAAATATCGTATTTCATGCAAGCTAAAACGATAGTCGAAAACAAAGTCATACCGCATCGCCGACCGAAGTACGTGAGCGATAGATGGCAGAGTAGCACGACCCGCTATTATAGTCCGCGCTGCACGGTGTGTGGGTAGGTAATAGAAGGCGGCTTACCCTCGGAGCTTGTCGTCGAAAGGCTCGTTGGGGTTACCCCCCTCTCCATCATTGTGCCACTGCAGGAGCTGTGCCAGAACGAAGTGAGGCCCGGAAACAGGCCAGTACTCGTGGATCACCTGCACCAGATCAACGAACGCAGACAATTTTCCGCGACGGAAGGACCGTGGACAAACAAGGGGAGTTGAGAGCGAAACTGGATATGAGGAAAGCGGAAATCATGCGGAAGAAACAAGAGCGGCACTTTTCTGCTACGTTGCCACCGCACAGGATCTGTGCGCGAGCGACAGTGAAATATGGTGATCGGCGGAACCGGGCATCTCTAGCGGTCCATAGTACACCCACAACTAGCTGCTCAAGACAGTGGAGCCTGCCACGACGAACACCGGCCAACACAACATACACAGCGGCGCCAAACACACCTCGTCTCCTTTCAGGCACCCGTCTCCCGGCTTCGGTCCCTGCGGCTTCGGAGGGGGTTTCGGCCTCGCCGGCGTGCTTCTTCTCTGTCGAGCCCTGGCTCTCTTGCTCCACCCGCCCTGCTTCTTCCCCTTGCTGCCGACGCTAGCAGGCTTCGCACCGGTTGCAGGCGCCGGCGACGCAGACTTGGCGGCCGTTGCCCTTGCGGCCGGCTGCTTCCTGCCGCTGTTCACTGCTGTCGCCGTACCCGCCGCCGCCGCTCCTGGTGCCCCTTCCCCCTCGCTCGCGAGTGCTGTTGCCTCCGACTCGCAGTCGGACGATCCGCTCTCATTTTCAGCGGCATTCTCAGGGGTTTTCCCATTTTCCGCGACCTTCGGAGTATCCGTAGCCGCCGCCGCCGCCGCCGCTGCAGCAGCAGCAGCCGCTTCCTCCGCCGCTGCTGTCTTCTCTGCCTTGGCCCTAACCATGGCCGACGCGCGGGCGAGGCTGCCGCTCCTCGCCTTGTTCTTTCCCTTCCCGTTGCCAGCGGGGGCGGCGGCGGTGGCGGAGGCGGCGGCGGCGATGGCGGCGGTGGCGGCGGTGGTGGCGGGATCGCTAGCGCCCGAAGCGGTTTCATTTTCGTCTGGCGATGACGCTTGCCCTGCTCCCGCCCTCCTCGCCGAAGGTGTCGTCATACCATCACCGTCACCGGCGGCTGTGGCCACACCCGCTGGGGAAGGTTTCCCAGGAGTAGAGGCAGCACCATCACCATCACCACCAAAACCATCACCTCCAGCATCTGCTCGGGACGGTGTGCACGGGGGAGACGACGGAGAGTCTACCGCCCCTACCCTTGCTGATGCTGCTCCTCCTCCTCTTGCGTCTCCGTCGGGGGCGGTGGCGGTGGCGGCAGCGGCCAGCGCAGCCGCCGCCCTCGAGTCTCGCTTCTTTCTCTTTTGCATCGCCAAGCGCTTCTCGGTCTTGTAACGAGCAAGCACCGCCTTGGGCACGTTGTTGCCGATCTCCTTCGCCAGGACCTGGACGGGGTCCCCCACCACCGTGGCGTAGTTGGTTGGCTCGGCGAAGGTCTTCGTGTGGGCCAGGAGGAGCAGGACGTCCGCTGCCGCCTTGTTGCGGGCGTTCGGCAGCGTCCGGAGGCCGAGCAACAGCTCTCGCACTTCCAGCAGCGCCTGCACGTACGGAACAACAACGACCAATCGGCGTATGGTCGTGTTTCAGCGTAGGGCAGGCGGGAGGACGACACATACGATTAGGGCAAGCTAAATATGGTGAAGCACCAAGTTCACGTAGAGCGAGACAGGAAACATCGCAGTGATCAGACGGAGAAGGGTCCATCTCAAGGCGTGGTACAACTCGCACCCTGGCGGCCATCTTCACAAGTCTATGTCTGCAGAGGTCGCGCGCGGTGAACGATTCATCACGGGGCTCGGCACCATTCCACGCGCGGCGCTTACCAGCCTGAAGACAAACGGGTTCGCTCTCTCACCTTCTTGAGATGAGCCTTGTGGGCCACCACATCATTGTCAAGCTTGCTCTGGATCTTCATGATGACATCCCTCCCGGCATTGTACGCCTTACGGTCCAGGGGTCGGATCGTCGTCGTCTTGACGGGAGAGGTCTCCTGTGCTGCGAGCTTCGACGGGGGTGGGCCGGCCGCCGCTGAGGCCGCCGATGGCCGAGAGCCAGATGTTGTCGAAGGCCGAGAGGCAGACGATGCCAAGGGCCGAGAGCCAGACGTTACCGAAGGCCGAGAGCCAGACGAGCCGGGTTTCGCCCTCGAGTCCTGGTTCACGTAGAGCTCGTACAAGGGATGTCTCTTCAAAACGACGAGGGAGCGAGGGGGGAGAGGGGATGCGGGCGTTGATTAATGACGGCTTGGGGAAAGGTTACAAAGGCGGACAAATTGGGGAGCATCGGCGGCGGCCACGGGGGTACAATATTGCCCCCCACCCTAACATGAGTTATGATGCCCATCACGTCAAGAACGAAACAAGGCGGCGGCCTGGATAGCCTCCCGCTCCCCGTTATTTCGCAAGCGGCCAGATAAGGGCGGTGAGAAAACAACATACCCAAGACATGCATACCACACGGCTCCGGTGTGATTCGTGGGCATCTCGTCAAGAAAGGTACACGACAGCATTGTACATGGGAGGACGGCCTCTCCTCGGGGCTGGAAGGCAAACCGCAGTGGCATAGCGGGGGTGCCGGCACCGCTTGGCCTCCTGGACGGCTCTTTCTCGCATACATATCATACCTTGATGAACTCGGGCAGCGTCTTCCGCTTGGGAGCTCTCACGCCGTACGACTTGGTCTCCCTCACGGGGTCCCACATATATATGCGGTCATCGGGGTCGCCCCCGGACAGGATTCTTTGTAACTGCCAAAGACGATTGATAGACGAACAAGTGCCCCCACAGCAGCAAGGAAGGACGAAAAACGGGAACAGGTCAACAAGGCCAAGGACAAGTTCCAGAAAAAAGCCTTGCGGCGAACTTCTCCGCGTGCAGAACACGACATTGGGATCTAGACTGCGGCACACCGGATCATATCCCTTGAGAATTGAGCGCCGAAAGGAAGCTTCGTCGATGTCTTGAAGCGGAAAAGATCAACTACAACAAAGAGTCCGTCTACAACAACAACAAAAAACGGCCGCTGACCTCAGCGTCGCTAACGCCGCGCCCACTGCCGCCCGCTACCGGCTTGTTGGCCGCAGGCGCTTTGCCACCCACAAGCCCCTTGACCGCCGGTCCCTTGCCCTTCCTAGCCGCGGGTCTCTTACGCCCTACCAGCCCCTCCCCCGCAACACGGTCCGCGGCGGGCCGCTTTCCGGCCCCACTATCCCCGTTACATGCCACGCCACCGCCATCCGCGTCGCCCCCTCTGGGGCCTTGCCGCGGGTGCTCCGCGGTCTGTGAGGGTGCCGCCCCGGATCCGTTTGCCGCCGCCGCCCTGCCGCCACTGCCGCCGCCGGCATGTAGGTTCGCGGATGACGAGGTTGGGCTGGGAGATTTGTTCTGGTTCTTCAGCACGGCGCCTCCACGCCCCCTGAGAACGGCACCCCCCCTGCCCTTGAACCTCTTGTTTGGTGCCGGCGTGTGTGTCGATACGCGCTGGTCGTGGAGGGGTTGCTGTTGGTGCTGTTGGTGCGGCCGCTGCTGCTGCTGTTGATGCTGCTGCTGCTGCTGCTGCCGCTGCTGCTGCTGCGGCGGCGGCGGCGGCGGCTGTTGTTGCTGCTGCTGCGGCGGCGGTTGATGTTGTTGCTGCTGCTGCTGCGGCGGTTGATAATGTTGCTGCTGGGGCGGTTGTTGTTGCTGCTGCTGCTGGGGCGGCGGCTGCGGCTGCTGCTGTTGCTGCTGCGGCGGCGGCTGTTGCTGTTGCTGCTGCTGCTCTCGCTGTTGCTGCTGCCGTTGCTGCTGCTGCTGCCCTTGGCCCAAGCCGCCGTCGCCGTTCGGCTCTTCGCGCACCCGGCGTACCCCCACTAAGCTCGCTTCCGCAGCGCTCGCGTCTGGACCCGTGTCAACATTAGCAGTAGCAGTAGCAGACGCAGCATGCATCGCACCGGCAGCTTGAGCAGCGCCTCCAGCCCCAAGTACGGAAGGAGGAGCAGCCCGCCTCTCAGGCTCAGGCGCCCGTTTCACGGGGGTCGCTGCTGCTGCTGCTGCTGCTGCACTAGCCTTGGATGCCTTGGAGGTGCCATCTAGAGTCTGCACTAGCGCAGCGAGATCTAATCCCGCCGTAGGAACTCCGCCGAGCCCCGCCTGTGGGATGGCAGAGGGGGGTATGCCCCACGCGCCCATCTGCCCCACGAACCCCCCGCCCCACGCGATGCTAGGTTGGAACCTCGGCAAGTTCCCGTTGAAGGCATACTCGGGCGTCACCGCCGCTGCTGCCGCCATGGACCCAGGGGCGCACGGAACGGGCATGAACCCGTTCGCCGCCCCTCCGGGCCCCGCTGCCGCCGCAGCCGCCGTGGCGATCCCGTGCGGGGGCATCCAAACGGGCCCCGCGGGAAGCGGCGGCACTGAGGGCTGACCCCAGCGCTGCAAGGCCTGCGGCTGCGGCAGCTGCTGATGAACAAGTAGGGGTTGCTTGATCACGGTGGGCGCTTGGTGGGCGTGGTGCTGCTGGTGGAACGTGTAGCCGCCGTTCACCATCGCAGAGGCAGCGGCAGCGGCGGCTGCCGCCGCCGCGGTCCCCGGCTGCAACTGGCCGGCCCACCCGGCCGACCTAGGCGACACCGTGCTCCCGTCGAAGCCATTCAGGGAGGAGGACGCGGTATCAATCATGGCCAAGAGCGCCGTCTGCGGGGCGCGCGGGTCGTGATCGCGCCCTGTCTCCAGCGATGACACCGACGACGGGGACGCGGGAGCGCGCGCCTGATGACTACCGGCCCCACCTGCCGCCGTTGTTGTCGTCGACTGCGCCTCGTGGCGGTGGACAGCAGCCGCTGCCCTCTCCGGTACGGCGCCTTCAAAACGCACCGCCGGAGAACCGGCGACGTCGCCGCCCCCGCCCCCGCCCGGCGCCGGAGCGCTACCGCTCGTGGTCCGTCCGGCTTGGTTGGGATCACCTGGCTGACGGGCCCATACGTTGCAGGGGGATAGGCTACGTCCAGGCGGATGCCCTGCAGCATGGCGACCGCTGACCTGATCCACCGTTGCCCGGTGGAAAGCGGCGGTTGCGGCACCAGCGACGGTGGCGGCGGCAGCGGCGGCGGCGGCAGCGGCGGCGGCGGTCTCATTCGCGTCCGCCGACGCTCTGGCTTCTGGCGACCCATCGGTGCGCGGTGAAGATGACGCGAAGTCTGAGGCGTACCGCTGCTGTTGTTGCTGCAGCTGCAGCAGCTGATGCTGTTGTTGACGCAGCTGATCCTGCAGCTGATCCTGCAGCTGCTGCTGCTGCTGCCGCTGCTGCTGTGGTGGTGGAGGCGGCACTGCCCCGGCGTCGTCCGGCTCATACCCCTGGCCGGTGTAGAGCTGCATGTGCGGACGTGTCCGAAGGAACATGTGGATCCCCTCGCGCTTTGGAGCATCTGCGACAACACGCACGGAGGCACCGGGGTGGAAATTGGCAACCATGCAGTGGGAATGGGAGGGGTTCGGCGGAGTGCGGGTGTAGTCAATAAGTGAAAAACAAAAAAAATGAACGAAAAAAATGAACGAGGACTTTCAGGCGATGCAGCCGCGTGCAATCGTGTTAGGCTGGCGAGCATGCGATCCTCTCGCACATCAAAACTTGCCAGGTCTCACGCCGAGGCGAGTACTGCCTGCTGACGAGGATTGCTTGCGGTCTCATCACACGCAATGTGGGCGAGAAGAGCGACAGCATAATGGTAGTAACGCAAACAAGTGGCCACCAAGAGGGCACAAGCACCGAAGGGGTAGAGAGAGAGCGAGCGAGAGAGAGACTGTTGTTCGCCAACCAACAGACGTTCACAGCCCGAAGTCTCACCGTTCCCGGTGACCTTCTCCTTGGTGACGGTGTTCCACAGGGGGATGCGCTCGTCCTCGTCCCCGCCCGCCAGGGCCGTCACCGCCGCGTAGGCGTCTGCGACCCCCCTCGCCTCCCACGCACCGTACCACGCGATTTGCTCGGGTATGTCTTGGCCGGCGTAGAGGAACAGGTGCGGCCGGACGGCGATGAATTCGGCCACGTTCCTCCTCTTTGGACACTCTGTGGATGAGAGGCGGGGAGCGGGAATAAAGCCATCAGAGACACACAAGTGATCATAGCGATAGGGGCCTAAAAAGCGCGTCATTTTTTTTATTACAGTACGCTGTACCAGTTTGTTGTATTGTATGTTTAACAGGAAGACACAAGGCCTCGTGGGGAAGGGTTTGGCAAGAGCAAACAAAGAAAAAACGCGCTGAGCCTACGTTGAGCGTTGGAGCGCAAGAAGAAAGGGGGCATGAGGAGCAAGAGAGACGGAAAGAGAGACGTGAAAGTCTACACACACAACGCAACTGCAGCGCTCATCTCCCCCAAAGGCGTTGACCCAACCCAAAGTCCTCGCTGCACAACACGTCCATTCGCGGCGTGTTATTATTCACAAACGTAACGTTCACTCTGTCCAACCGGAATATCACCCAATTGACAGCACTTCCCTCGGAACGCGTTTAGCGTACGAAGGAGTTAAGGCGCATCTCAAAACGACGCCCACTGACCTTCGAGAGGCAGGCGTCTCCGATTGATTGCATCCCAGAGGTAAATGATGTCGTGCTGGGACCGCGGCTCGCCGTTGTCAGCCATGATCCCGCCCTCACCCGGACCGTCATGTGGGTCGCCCTGTCCCGTGTAGACCTCCGCGTTCGGGTGCGCGTTAAGCCAGGCTACCAGCTCGTCACGCGGGGGTGCCTCAAGCATGATGCACCTGCACACCCAAAAGTCCGCGATGAGAACAAACAGTTTAAGCCGTCGGCAGTAGGTTAGGTGAAACAGCGGTGCTAGTGTGCGGGTCGTCTAGCGGGCACGAATAGTCGGTAAGGCCGTCGATTCTCCACAGCGATGCACAGCAGGCAGCCTTGCCACACAAGGGTGTCGACCATTGCATTCCATGAAAGTCGCGCGCAACACATGCAGGCTGGATTTTTTGTCTTCCCGTGTGGCGATGCAGCATGCTTTCACACGAGCTATGAGGCTTCGGAGAAGGAACGAGAGACGCATGGCATGGTAGGCGGACTGACGAGGTTCAAAAATCAACACCGCACTTCGCAACACCAACAACGGAAATTATGCCACAGCACAGCAGTCGAACCAACGGAAACTATGCCACAGCACAGCAGTCGAACCAACGGAAACTATGCCACAGCTAGGCTAGGCAGGTCTCTTTGCAACCATCCCACGCGATCCATGACGTCGGCAACAAGAGCATCGGCGGCAACGATAGCAGTAACGCCTACCTCCGCCTCGAGATGTCCCACACTAGGATGCGCTCTCGCAAAATCACCGGCTGCGCCACACGCGGGCGACGGGGAACAGCAACGCGCAACGTGCCCCCGCCCCCTGATGCCCTCGGTCTAGCAGGTCTCCTCGTCACCCTTCTTGCAGGGCGGCGCTGAATCTATCGGGACACGGGGTAAGTCGGGAAACGAAGAGGGAAAAAGCCAAAGGCAAATGAATAGTGTCATCGCTGCGCGAGATGCTGACAAAGAGGCGTATTGGGGAGTGGGGGGGTCGCTCGAAAATGTAAGGCTGTCGTAGACGTTGGTATGGTATCCCCGCGAAGATGAGGAATGTCGAGGTTTCGCCATCATGGATGGCATTGGACTCAGCAAGATGTGTGTGCGATGTTGGAGGAGGTGCCTTTTAGCTTCGCATCAATCAATAACACATGGCCACCTGAGCGAGAAACAAATGAGGCAGCAACTAAACAAAAACCAAGCAATGAGAAAAAGCAAGTCATACCCAAGGGTTAGCCGAACGGCCGGTTGGAGCGATCGAAGCTCTAATAATAAACATACGCAACTTGCCGCAGCAGCAGCAGCAGCAGCAGCCGAAGCACCAACGACAACGGAGACGACTACGAAAGGCAGCAGCAGCAGCAGCAGCAACACCAGCAAGACTCCGAAGCAAGAAAAAAACTCACATCCTCAGGATCGGGCGTCTCCACGACCAATTTCGCACAGTATATTGCCTCCAGCCTCCGGAGCAGCCTCCGCATCATGCTCTGCCGCCCGCTCCACAGCGCCTCCACCACCTCGTCGTCTACCAGAAGCTTCAGCGGTGGTCTCTCCGCCAACGTCGCGGGGTCTTCGTTGGCCGCCCCCGCTCTTCCTCCTGCCGCCGGCGCGGGCGGTTCGAAGCCCTCCGGGAGGGGGCGGGAGTGCGCCGTTTTCTGCTCTTGAAGGAAGTGGTACACCCCGCTCAGCACTTCCACCAGGCTGCGGATGCGGCGGTCCATGACCTGGTGGCTCTCGATGTCGGCCGACTGGAAAAAACAACAGTGGTGGCGGGGGACGGCACTAGAGTTATGTCCTTGAGCGCGTCGCCGTCTTGTGCGTAGGTTTCTAACAAAGATACGTCATCGGGCGTTGAACCAGACGACCACAAACAACAGATCCGGAGGTTAGCATTCCTACATGCACGCAACAGCACGACTAAGTACCATCCTCCGGTGAATGGGATCGGGTACCACGTCCGAGGTAATGTTCGGTGCGCGGCATTGTCGATCGGTATGGTACTGGGCTCGCGGAGCAACAGTCAAGACGTGATCTCCATCACTTTTGCCACCAGAGTCCTGGGTATCATCGCCGTCACGTTACCTGGTAGGTGTGGTCCCCGGAGGCCATGAGTGTCGGTGGAAGCTTTCGACGTTCGAACTCCACGTACCGAAGCTGCCAATGGTGGACAGCAGCAGAAGCAGAAGCAGAAGCAAAAGCAGCAGCAAGCAGCAGCAATAACAACAACAAGAGTCAAGGCACAAGGGCGGAAGACGAAACGTAAGGAAGGTTCTTCGGGCTGCGGCCTGGGCTTGGGTGCCACGCGTAAGTGTGGAGAAAAACGTCAGCCAGTCAACCTATTGCAACCCGAAAGGCAAGACTCGCCCGTACACTGCTGCCGGTGCCACTCTTTGCTGGCTCTGGTGCTACATACGTACTGTCTGGTGTGCTTCCCCACCTGCATGGCGGCAAACTTCTTGAGCCAGATCGGGCAGAGGTCGCCCAGGGCTGAGCTTTTCAGCCCGAACTTCTGCAGCGTTTCCAGCTCGCCCGAGGATATCGGTGTGTCGGCAGCAGACTGTTACCGAACCGCGTTACAATGACAAGGTGGGTGTCAGCGGGGAGGCGTCCCACGAAAAAAAAGGGAGGGTGCAGGGTGCAAGGGATGTAACCAGGCCGGGTAAGCACGTGGACGGTGGCAATCAATGAAAAAAATGGGCGTGGCTAAGCAGGTCGCACTCTTGCGACGCGCTCACGTACCCGGGGCCACGTCGGATCATGACCTACAGAAAAATACCTACCAGCAAGCATTACTAGCTCTAAGCGGGCACCACTCGTACGCAGCCAATTCTCCCGCCGTCTACACGGCACAGGTGCACTACTTGTAAGCACACATAGCAGCACACATGATGGAACAACCAAACCGCCCGGCGGGACACCGGAATAACTCTTGACTCGACCTGAATCAGACCGCGGAAGACCATGAGGGGTCCCAGTCCTCGTAGGATCTTGCTGTAGCTGTCCATGCCCGTGAAGGTCATGAAGCTCTGCTGGCAGAGGTTGGAGCCGCACAGGCACACTGCCTTGCCGTACTCCGTCTCGCACGAGGTGATGGCGCCGTAGTTCATCGTCAGTTCCTCTCCTGATGATCATCATGCACGTTGTTCAAGATTCACATCTTCGAGGTTCACGTGCTCCAAGATGCACCCCACCCAACTGTGTTTCATTTTTATCAAGCTACAAAGTCGAAAGCGCAGGAACACAGCCGAAACACGCCCACACGTTTTGCGAATGTCGCAGGACACAGCTGTCCAGGGGCCATTCAAACTATGGAATGGATCGGTCCCACTCCCCCCCTCCAATACCCCCACAAACTCGAAGTTTGGTGTCTTTAGCCTGCTTCCCGATCAAGCCCCCGGACTCTCTGCCACACCTCTGCCATGTGCTTCTCTTACCGAAGGCAATGGCGCGGGTGGTGGAGAGCGTTACACAAAGCCTCCCGTTCCGGACCGACGTTGCCGTCGTGCAGTTCGAGTTGCAGCTGTGGGACAAGGAGCTCGAAAAGTTGCCCACGTGGTTTCCCGCCTGCGTGTTGTCCCCCACACGACAGCACAAACGGGAATACAGCGGCAGCAGCAGCAGAGCAGTAGCAGCAGCAGGGGCAGGAGGGGGAAGAGGAATGCACGCAAACGAGAAGGCAATTAAGGAAGGCAAGATGTCAGCAAACACGTTTCCCGGCCGATATGTGATCTTGGCGACCTACGACTTTCACAGTCCCAAGGCTTGGTTGAACAACAACACCAACACACCAGTAGTCACCCAAGTTTTAGAGACACGACCACTTTTAGCGAAAATAACCAGCCAAGAGTTGCACGTGCACATGACACCGAGCCAGCAAGCACTAAGCGGTCGGCGGAGGAACAACCCAACACTTCCAAACGGTTGCGCTACCTCCTAATCTATTCCACTAGCTACACACGGCAAACAGACCATCCGCCCGGACAGCAAATCGAGTCGTGCTTCCACGCAAACCTCCGAGCTTCGAAAACAACACGCAAACGGCACCAAAGACGACATCGCCACAAAACAAAACCCTCCCGAAAAGCACAAACTATATCCAGGACAAACGATCTCCCAACCCTCCCCCAAGGGGCATACAACAAAATATAGGAGTAGCATTTGTTCTCACCTCGACGTGAAGCAGTCCGAAGCCGCGAGCGTCCTCTTTGGGTCTTTCCATCATGAAGTTGTAGAAGTCGGGCAGGTCTGGCTTAAGGCCGTGCTTAAGCTTGGCCTCCTCGATGGCGCTCAGCTTCTCGTTCCAACGCCACGACGGGTACAGGTCCCTGGGGAGTCGTTCAAAGTGTGTGTGTGGGGGGAGAGATGTTGGCCGCAGGAAACGTATGTCGGGACAGTGTTGCATTCCCAGACGAGAGGATATTTCGATCACCGCGTGTAGCAGCATGAGCTCGTTGCTCTCAACTCTGCAGTAGCGGGCCACACTTGGCTACCCCTAGCAACAGCAAGCAACAACCGGGAAGTGTGCATTCATTCATGTCCACTGGGTCTGGAACCGTAGCATCTGCCAGTAACTGCCACCTTCCTTTCTCTCGCAAAAAAGACAACCGCGGGGCCCTCAGCCGATTGAACTGAATGGATCACTTGTTGTTCTTGGCTGCCAACAGTTAAGGTGGATATTTCGCAAGGAAATGTAGCCGTCCCATCTGCTTTAGAAGCTCTACCTTTCGGCGTACATCGACGCATCTCCCTGACTCACACCAGAATGTTTTACGCTTAAGTACTGTTCTTGTTGCACGCGCGACAAACTTCGCTCATGCCGTTTCGCATCCCATTTCTTTCTCTCTCTCCCTCTCTCTCTGTTTCTTTTTATCTCTCACTCCGTCACTCACCCGAGGTACTCCGACACAAACGTGTCCGCCTTGAGTCCTTCTTTCGCCTTGCAGATGACCCCGGTGCCCTTGGGGTGGCTGTGGAAGTAACACCGGACCAACGACTCGGTTGCACGGTGCTCCTGGTGTAGCAGCTGGAGCCTGGGGCAAACGAGATGGGCCAATCAAACAAGGAAGACAAGAGAAGAGCGAACACACAAGGCATTGACATAAAGGATTAGAGATGAGCCAAATGAAGAAGGAAGACAAGACAAGAGTGAACACGCAAGACATTGACGTAGGGGATTCGACTACTCAAATGGAATAAACAACGTCAAAACCTTTCTTCATTTCTTCACCTACTCCGCCCCTGCAAAAGAACAAAAGGGCTGACTTGGAATGCCTCTACTTGGTTTCATTCGTTTGTTCAATTGAACTGATGAAAGAAAACAGAGAAAAAAAAAAGCGAGAGAGAAATGTGGTACTGAGTTTAAAAGGTGCAAAAAAAAAACAAGGAGGAAGAAAGACTCGGCAGGAAATCGACAATGCACCAATCACGCGTGTCGTGCACTTTCACAGCCGTCACCACGTCTCTCTCGGTGTCTTTCTCTCGCTCACCCCTCGATAGCGTGAAGCAGCGCCTGCGCGGCAAGCAAGTCCTCCCCCTCGGCCTTCGGACCTAGCTCGAACTCTTCCGCCTCAGCGCGGGCCCTGGAGGCCTCCAGCTCTTCCTCCGTCTCTCCGTCCGGGATGACCTTCATGTCGACAGCAGTGTGGACAGTGTCAACACCCACGGGTCATGTTGCTTCCCATGTTCATTTCGTCAGGAAATAGATCGACTCACGACGACCGGTGACATACTTGCATGACTCGGTGTTATATTTTCTTGTTTGCGCGATAGAAACAGCTGCAGAACTCAACAACCTAGAAAATGCATCACATCCAACAGCAGCATTCTCTCTGGCGAAGAATGGGTGCAGAAACCGTACCTTGCAAAGATCTCGGAGTGCCGGCAGCATGTCTACCCCCCTCGGCCCGTTCTGGCGGTTCAAGGCTGGGAGCAGGGTCGTAGTGATCCAGTGCTGAGCCTGCTCCTTGCTGAGGCCCAGCGTGAGATCGAGCATGTGCTCCACGTTGCTGCGGGTGTAGCAGTCGATACCCCACACGCTCCGCTCCTGTAGTCGCGGGAGGCGTAAAAGACGCGTCATACAATTTGATACGATGAATATCAGTGTCCTTCAGAGCGTAGACCTTCGCGTCCAAACAACACCATAAAGCCGACCATGTTCCCGTATGGTATGGTTCGTGTCAAACGGTGGAGTAGCGCACAGCCTAAGGGCTGCCAAATCGAACGACACGTTACCAACCGAAGAAACCATTAGATCGAAGACACAGGCAGCCGTGGAACCAGCAAAAACAACAAACGACATTACAGCACCAAACACTGACCTAAGAAACAACACCCATTTAACAGTAGCGACAACAACAACAGCACCATCAACAATCAACCTACAATAACAAACAGGCAACGACAGCAACAGCAGCAGCAACAGTTGAACAAAAAATCCTACCCCCCACCCCCCTTCCGCCACACACACAAAAAAAAACAAGGACGAAGCGGCACACCTCAAGCTGTGCCTGCCCTAGGCTGCCATCCTCTTGTGCAGGCACCACCACGTCATCCTTGCTGTCGCCTGCGCCCTTGCTGTTCGCGGAGGTACCCTTGGAGTCGCTCTTGACCCTGTACCTTGTCAGAGTGAGGGGCTGCTTCTGCACCTCGTTCTTGTCGTTCTTGATATTGATCGAGACCATGGTGCACATCTTCTCCAACAGGTTCGAGACCTGGAACAGCGAAAGAGAAAATAAAACCAACGCTTGTTGTCGTCAGGGGGCTCATGAATCGACACGAAGCACAATTTTTCAAACTGGTGCAATCTGCCAAAATACTGGTCTAGGTGAACATTTATGCATATCATCATGTGGCATGGTACCCTGGACAAGCATTGAACGAGGGTTTACGTCCCCCGTTCGCGCGAAATATGTATCACTGCTCGCCTGCGCCCGGATGCCTTCGTCGTTGAGAAAATTGCCGCCGTTTTCGGCACCGCTCGCACCGCCCCCGACCGATTCTTGCGTCGCCCCCTCCCCTGCGATCGCAAGCGTCGTAGAAGCAGAGGAAGCACCAGCTTTGGAAGCGGATGACTCCTTCATGTAAGTCCGCATCCAGGCCTCACTGATGCTGTAGTCATCGTTCGAGCCGTGCGCCTGGACACATTCGTCGAGAGTTTTTTCGTGTCAAACGTTGCCGGGACGACATTAAAAAGGGGGTGAATAGACCGAAGGCCGAGAAAAGAAAAAAGTGGGCACGCGTGAGAGGGGCCAAAGCACGCTACGCGAAAACAGCCAACAAAATCAAGCTGCAACGTTTGTCATAAAGCAACAAACGCCACCCCAACATCCGGAAACAGGTCACAGCAGGAGTGACACCTCATCTTCAGGCAAAAATCACACGTCCTCTCATTTTTGGCTGTTCTAAACAAGAGAGAGAAAGTCCAGGGGCATGGTGGAACCACCCGCAAGTCAAGACCCTGAAAAGACGGTTACCAACACGCCTTGTACATTCAGTAGTACCTCCGTCACATAGCCGTCGGGGAGGTCGGATATCAGATCCACCTCGATCGCCTTGCGATCCTCCGGGCGAAGATCACGAGCCGGCCTGTACGTCGTCAGGTACTGCTGGTACACTCGAAGCGGGAACGGCTCCGTCCGAAACTCTCCCTGGTTATATTCCAGTTAGGTCCAGTTGATCCCAAAACATCCATTCGGAAGAACATGGAGTGCGGAAATCCCAGTTAGGTCGAGTTCATCCCAAAAACATCCGCATCCACAAGAGAATGGCGCTGCGGTAATTCCACTACGGTTCAGTCCATTGAATATCCACGGACAAGATCATGGAATAGTGGAATGCAATCGATTCGACACGGTGGGAGGGGGGGGGTCAATCGTCCTTCGGGCTAGGGGAGTCCCTCAGACACGTATCCATTTGAGTCCATGCAAATATCCATCCATAACCATACGCGTAGAGGAGGATGGTTCGTCCACGACATGACGCAAGGGCGGGGGTACCCATCACGATTATATCATACTATTTCACTCGACACGGGTTATGGAGCCCCTTCTACCCATACCGAACATGCCAACATACCAACATACCAGCGATAGCGTTGCTGATACTCAAGAGTCAAGACACAACGCCTGCCTTCTAACAAAAAAAAGTAAAGAACAGGCGTCATGTCTTAACGTCGACAACGGAAAAAAGGGGGAAGGAGGGACGCACAGTCTGAGGCAGGGAAAATATAGCGGACGGTATCAATATGCAACCACACCACACCAGAGGCAGACGAAAATGATCATGATCATCAACAGGACGTTTCCGGACAGGTGCCTAAGGCGATGTTGCTATTTACCTCTACACACACGATAAAAAAGAAACATCGACAAGGAACATAAACCGTTTCGCCTACAAACGCCTACAGAAAATCGACAAGCAGAGCAAAACGTCCAGCCTTGATTCCCCTCTCTAGAGACAACCGCCTGCTGTACGCACCTGTACGGCCGCTAAGTTGCTCTCCCTGATGAGGTCATCCACACTCCGCTTAACCGCGTAGGCGTACCTCTGTCCTCGCGAACGGGCGTTGCAAGCATCACAACAGTTTGAGAAGCAGATGCTGATGTTAGACGCCAAGAAACAAAACTGACTCGAGTCAGTCGAAATCCAAGCACTGCAGCACCCGACTCCGTGACCTAGACACTCTACAAATACCCCAGAGACGAGTCTAATTGAGTCGAGTCCCGCAAGGCCAGTAGGAACAACAGCACCCAACATGTCCACCTCCTGCCCTGGTTAGGGTTGGTTGGCCATTACGACGAAAACTATCAAGTGACGCCGACCACTGGAAATAAAACAGAGCGGCGAACCAAGTAATCTCCCATGATATATCATGTGTGATGTGTGTCGTCTCTTCTCTTGGGTAGGGAGGCGGACTGTGGTGCTTTCAAAATGTGACCTCTTTCGCCGAGTGCACCCTCGAAATCAAATAACCGAAAACGTACTCTTGCACCACTATTGTCAAAGCTTTCGCTAGATCCCGGATCAAACCAGCAAGACGGGAGGGTACAGATGCTTCAGACAGGTTTCATGCAGACGAGATCGCACACACAACTACAGAGGCAGAAGAAGCGACACAAAATTGCCCAGACCGCGTTTACACTACCGAGCTACACTGATGCCGTCTTTACGAGTGCGCAACCTGCAGCTCCCATGCATGCTCCCTTCTTCAACTCACCTCCCTCTCCGCCCGTTCCAGGTGCTTGGAGTACAGATCGTCTGCGTTGGCCAAGAACCGCTTGGCGTCTTCCAAGTTCTGCTGCACGTGTTCCTCCCCCTCCTCATCGTCCTCCTCCTCCTCCGCCTCCCCCTCGCCCCCAGCTTCCTGCGTCTTCCCTTTCGCGTCGCCCCCGGTCCCGCCGCCATCCGCCCGACAACGCCGTCGCCGCCGTCGCTGTCGCCGCTGGTTCTTCTCCTGCTCCCTGTCGGACTTCCAGTCCTCTGCCCACTCGACCATCCTGCCCACCATCCCCGCGATGTCCGCGCGCAGCCCCGCCCAGTCCAGCAGGGGCTCGTAGTCGAAGGTCAGCTTCGCTGCGCCGCCGAGCCTCCCGGAGTCTCTCGTGAGGGGTAACACCGGCGTCGGCCGGGTCTGCAGCGACGACGACGAGGCTTTCCCGGTCGGCTTTGAAGCCTTCGAAGCCTTCGAAGCCGTCTTCGTCACAGCAGTACCGGAGGCGGGGGCGGGGGCCGGCGATTCCGCCGCTTTTTCCGTCGCCTCCTCCTTGGGGGATTGGGACGGTAGGGGTGGCGACGACGACCCCGATCTCGAGAACGATGGCCTCTTCCGCGACCGTTTCGAGGCACCCGCGACGGCAGCGTTACCGCCGGTGGTCTCGGCCTCCGTCGTCGTTGCCGCCGCTGCTGCCGTCGGCGCCGCTTTCGACTCCGCTGCCGCTGCCACAGGCGTGGAGTCGTCGTCCCCAGACGTCAGCAACGGCGCCTGGTTACCGCTAGCCTCCCCCCGCGCAGGCACGGCCTCTTGAGATTGAACTAAGTAGGACCCGGGCGCGGGAACGTAGCAACCCCTTACGAAGCGCTCCCTAATCTGGGGAAGGTTGATCGGCGGCGCCTTGGGCTTGACAGGGTGCTGCGACTCCTTCAGCAGCACACCGTTCCGCCCCGTTGCCGCCAAATCGCCCTCCTCGTCGGCCTTTCCCTCACTATCGACATTCATGGCATCCTCCACAGCCGTGGACGGCGAACGCCGAGGGGGGGTAGGGACATCCGCACCCGCCACCGCAGCAGCAGGCTCCCCTCCGTTAACCGCCACCGACGATCCTTTCCTAGGCCGCCTGCGCGATGGCGGACCCGGCCCCGCGTCCCCGCTGCCCCCATCGCCACGGACAGGCGAACCTGCCCGCTTCTTGTCCGACGACTGCGGAGCCCCCTCCTCACTCCCAACACTACCACCACCAGCAGTAGAAGAAGTAACTCTTCGACCGCGTCCGGCGGTCACCCATGCAAACCCGCTCCGGTCGGCATCGCCGCCGTTCTGCTCGTCACCCTCCGCTCCCTCCGTGCCCTTCAGCTTCTCTATAGGGTCGAGCTCTGTGCGAAAGATCTCGTAGCTGTCCTCCTTCTCTATCCTGGAGATGAGCTTCTCCATGTCTTTCACCTGCTGGTGGATGAACTTGGGAGTGCCTGCGGCGAGCTCCGGCAGCTCGGGGCCGGTTGCTGAAGCCGACATCCTCGCCACCGTCTTTCAGTGTTGCACGGGTGTGTTATTTATTAACATTTAGGAGGAAATTGAAAGTTCCACAAGGAGAGTCGAGGGGATGCACAGCAGGCGAGAGGTCAGGGGTGAACAACGGGAATCTCAAGTGTTCAGAAAAAAATAGAAGTACATGCAACGTTCACGCTTCTGGCAGGGCATCAGCGGGTCGGGGCTGCAGAGCATACCCAAGCTCCCTTGGCACAAACCCTTCCATTTCGACCCCCCCCTCCGTATACGGTGAGGTATGGAAGAAACCCTGCAACGAAGCGGGCTTAGAATTCTGAGGAGCGATGTGTACCACCTCGCGAATCTGCCATGAACCTCCCAGCAGATGCAGCTATGGAGATTGTGCACCTTTCCCTCGATCTCGTGCTCCCCGACCCCCCTTACCTCGTCGAATTGCTTCGGGGCCTTAACCGCCCGCGCTCCGCGCAGCGACCTCGTGGCCGAACGGCTTCGAACGCCCCCCGTCGACCCCGTTGGCCCCTCGGGTTGTTCCAGAAGTCGCACATACTGTAGACACGTGGTCGCGGTTCGGTTCCAAAATGAGCAAAATAGGCGTCTTGCGACTCATGCAACGGCAGACAACTGCTCCTGTTGCCGTCACCATCACGCTGATTTCCCAAAAATATATATTCGCCGTGTCGATATTCAGCAAAGGAAAACAATCGTGGTGGTCGCCAGCTAGCCCAAGATAAGGTAAGGAAAAATGATGATAGTCTAGAAGTTTTTGTACCGCACGAGAAAAATATATATTGAAGAATGAGTATGGAAAAACTGAACCCAGGATAGGAGGGAAACAATACCACGCGCCGGTTTTGAATGATACATGGGTCTGTGTGCTTGTTGCGGTGTCCTCGTCCAAGTGCCATCCCCCCGCGTAGCATTGTACTTGAGCAGAAACGAAGCAGCTCGGGCCATCACAGCTCTCATGGCGTAGTGCGGCATTCATGAATTCAAAGGAAATTGGACATATGTTTTCCAAGTGCATCCTCTTGGCTAAATTATCCGTAACGGTCAACATGGCATGCTGTTGCGGAAGGTCCTGGCGATTCTTGAGAGAGGCGTTTCCTGCCACAGCTACATACCTGGTATACATTAGCATGTACGTACGCAATAATTTAATCGGCGAAACGCAACATTCATGACACACGGAAGAAGCAACACCCGTGGTATCATAGACCACAAAACCGCTTGGAGAGTCCGGCGGGCGCTCATCGCACGAAACACACCACCACAGACAGGCGCACTGGGATGTGTGCCCGTTCACGTGCGGGGGAAATCGAAATGTTGAACAAAAAACATTCAAAATTGCAACGGAGAGCCCAAAAATATCGTACACCACACTCTCGCTGCGCGTGCCCTACACGTCAAAGCGCATGTGGGATTGGCCGCGAGACATACATGGATCCTCAAATGTGGTGGTATCAACACACGTTCACAACAGGCTAGCCTAGCCTTGGAGAACGATCCACAGACTGGGCGCTACAGGTGGGTGTTCCTTGGGGGAACAAAGAGCATGTTCAAAAAACGACAGGTTGTTCTCATGTATGTCGGGCTACAGCAGTCTTTTCGTCGAGAGGCGAGTTGCGGGCGTCGACCCAGCAGACAAAAGTACGCGGTCGACGGATCTACACCAGGATCAAACTCCACATATTGACCAGCACCACAAGCTCAATTGGAGGCACCTCTCATCCGCCCGTCCCCCGTGCCTCTTGGCACAACAACGTACAACGTCTGGTCGCGTGTCGATTGTAGGTTGCCCGTGTGCTTGATGAGGCATGATTTCGAAATCGCACCACAGCAGAAGGCTGGCCGATTATGCAACATCGATTCTCATTGTGGCACGGGCAGATCCGCCCCCTGCCAAACATGACGGTTTTTAACCAGACAACGTGACGACAATGGCGATCCAAGTACGGCCGTGATGTTGTGCTGGGACCAACCTTGTGCTGTACTGCTGCTAGCTTTGCCGCGGGCGGACAGAGCAAATCGGCACAAACAGCAAGAGAACCACCGTATTTTCAAAGTTCGCGCGCTCGGCTTCAGGCACTTACCCCACTACTTGCTACTTACAAGGGCTTCAAGGCGAGGTCCTTTCCCTCGCCTTGCGTGTATGCAAGACGCAAGACCCGGCACCCACCACCGTGGATCTTACCTTCAGTGGTACCCTAGCCTCGCTACGGTTGCCGATGATGTAGGCAACCGCTATGGTGCCATCGGAGTTGATTTTCGAGACCCTCCCTGGTCCGCCCTCCTTGTTCACACCAGGCCACTGTCTCTGGGCAACTACAACATCCTGCCCAACCTCGAACATTGTCACCATCGCATGCAGGTGGAGCTGCCGCCACCAGAAAGTGCCAAGGTTCTGTGTGTTGGCGTTGTTGTGGGAGCGTCAGCCCATCGCACCCCCGAAGCGCAGGTCGCTCGCTACACCCATCTCGATTCCCTGACGACGCCAACCCTCGGAAATGTCGGAGGGGGGACAATATTGGCAGTCTCCTTCGCGTACCCCCCGCCACGACATGTGTTGGATACGCCGCATCTTGCGCATCATTGTCATATCATCCCACATCATCACTGGATGGATGGACACTGGTAGACTTCAAGCGGTTCGTGCTCTTCTTCCTCAACGGTATTCATTTCGCTACCATTTCGCCAACAGCGAGCGTGCAGGTCTGCTACATACACCATTTGATTTGGGGACTGGTGGCCGCCGGGTGAAATTATGACCGTTTCTCCATGTTCGGTCGCAACAACCCAAATGACTCAAGGTTTGATGGACGGGCAGGATGTGTTACCTTCAGCGCGCGTCCACTACGACTTCAAAATGACAAGGGAGAGTGGAGATCCGTTCTTCGACCAGAAAGAAATCAAGGAGAGCCTTCGACAATGGTAAGGGACAGCCGTGTGTGTGAGACACGCGGCGTCACAGCAGTAGATCTTTCTCGCAGTAAAAATAAGGTGAATGTGGAGATGTTTGAAGTAGAGAAGTAGACCAGCCTCTTGCACAATTACGGCGCCTCGACTAGGCTACCCTCAGACACGAGACGACGCACATTTCTTCAGTCTGTATCATCTGATCGTTCTTCTTCCGTCGATCTCTATGCGCATATCCAACAAAATCTGTATTACATCAGTCTAGAGTTCCAGCATGGGTTGCAAGGGCAGGGGGGGCAAATAAATATCTTCGACGGTAATAATAAAGATCAACCTTTTCCTGTTTGTTAATTCTCGGCAGGGGGATGGAGGATACACTTACTCTCACACAGGTGCAATTCTGCCCAACCTTCATGGTGCATGAGGAGACAACCTTCCTACGCCAGTTGCTTACGTTCATCGTCGACAACCCAACCAAGCCAAGGGTGAGGGGAGACGGTACAGATAGCGCCCGCAGTTAAGAAACGTAAAAGTCGGGTCGAGCCTCAATCGTACATTTTGGGTCGAAGTACCGGCCCAAGCAGTCCATTTTCTGAAATGCCATATCTTATTCCTTTGGACTGTCGCATCCTCCCGATCCTCTTATTCCATATTACAAGTACTTCGTATTTTCAAGTTTCTGCCTTTTGATGTCTGAGGACAGTCCACTTCATCAAGCCCTCAAGAGAGAGAGGTGGTGGAGAGTGCCATCAAACCCGTACAACAGCGGAGAGCATGTGGTTGTCCGCGATGTGTGGCAGTACTACAGCGCAGCACAGTGAACAGCAGCGCCGGGGGGGGGGTCGCGAAAACAACCACTCTGCCCCCTTACAAAAAATAATGCAAATCTGTTCAGCTAGTTAGGGGGGTGGGAGCACCGAAGATTTCTGATGTCATTGGAGTATCGCACCATCATGTTTATTATTGGGGCGCTTCTTACGTTGTGGCCGAGATTGAGCTATGTTTCTTAGCCCTTTTTTCTTATCTTTCATAAGAACCTGAGCGATTTTTTCTTCACAGAATTTTTCTTAACTGCGGGCGCTATCTGTAGCTGTATGTATCATGTCCATCGCACCTATCAGCAGGATTCACGCCGATTCTGCGCGTACATCGCATCGACGATAGGGAGGTTGCATAGTCCTGCCAAGCAGGATCGTGCCGCAAGCTGCAGGTGCTCAGCGCCCATCTTGCCGTCAACCACGAAACTGGTGATGGGCATAATTCTCCGTATTGGCTTTCCTTCACGCTGCTCACAATGCGCCACCCGAAGCAGGAAAAACAAAGCACGCGGTCGACGGAATCGCGCGGCCGAAAATGTAGTGCCCGTCATTGGCTCCTTGACTGTTGGTCTACGACGTTACCGGTGTATGGGTTGCGTGTAAGAGATGCAACCCTCGTCTTGTCTCCTCTTTCCTGATTGACTCTCATGCGTGGATGGAACACATGGTGCAGGGTACGAAGACCAGTGTCGAGAGCGTTCAGTGGGAAAGGTTGAAGTGCACGGCCATGTCGATGGATTTCTTCAACTGCCTTATTGACAAAGGTGACAAGGAGGAAGAAAGCAAACATCAGGGCAAGCGTGAATCAAACTCAGTCATCGGGAGGGTGGGAGGCACTCCTGCATTGTGTTTTCCCGATGCATTCTACTATGAAGTATCGTTCGTTCTCTCAAAGACTCCGTAAGTTCATTTGAGTTTTTGAATCGACTCGTCGCGAGAGAGGGGGGGAGAAATGCTTAACATCTCGACTACAGATCAAGTTGTGGATTGTGGAAGGAATCCTAGTGCTTTTCTGTGAGCCTTGCTGGTACGCCGAGATCGTGTACTGCAAGGTGCAGAACTAGAGAAAAAAACAATTTTGACGCAGATAAAATACAACACGCATATCTTGACGTACAGTAGTTCATGGTCGCATGCATTTTGGATTTACATGTAGCGCGGAATGTGCAGCAAGCCGCCAGGCATTCTGCCGAGCGGTTCTGTTTTGTTTGTCCTTGAATCTGGTTTTGGGCCCACCACCTTTTGCAACCGCCGTCGAGTGACCCCAAAGTTACTATTAAAAGCCTTGTCTAAGGAAACGCCTCAGCTACAATTTCCCGGCCCACCGTACGTGTGAAACCTCATTACCCGACCACGTCGACCCTCCGATTCAAACCAGGGATTGTTAGCAAGACGGGAAACATGCGCGGGTGCTTTCCTGACGTTTTCGACGGGGTGACCGTGTCGGACAAGCTGAGGGAGCTACTGGTGAACCCGGACTCTGAGAACGCCGACGCCTTCTCCCCTGCCCAGCAGGAGGAGCTCCTCTTTCACGTGTTCCGGGTTCTGGCCGTGGGTGGGGGAGTGTGTCAGCCTGACGATAGCCTGGAACCTTACACAAAGGCAGCAAAGGCGCTGTATAAGGTGCTTCTAACATCTTTGCAAGCGAAGAGAGGAGAATCCTCGAATTAGTGACACCGCCGCGCAATTAATGTGAATCTTACACAGTGCGTATATATTGCACTATGTTGTGTTGGGGGTGTTTCTTTGTTGAAAAAGCGTCAGACGGAGGTCAAGCGAGTTTCACGCCCTTACTTGTCAGAAACTGTCACATACGCGATGGCGTGCGTGCCCAACCCGAGTTTTATCCCGGAGATATACATGCCAATACCTCCCACAAATATACACCCTCCTTGTGCTGGTTCACTTGATACCCCAGGATCTTGTCTCCGTCCAGAAGAACGCTTCCACAGGAAAGCTGGAGATCGCCGCAAGCAAGGTTTACCGTGTCACCGAGGCATCCACCGCGAACAACCACAACGGCAACGACGCCAGCAAGAACAATCCGGAGAGCGCCATCTCATCATCAGAGGGCAGCAACGGGGCGGTTGTAGGGAGTGACGGTGATGGTGGTGGTGGTGGCATGTCCTCATTCTGGAAAGGGAAATGTGCACCGTCGGAGTCGTCTTCGCCACACAGCACCTGCCTGGTTGTTGTCGATCTCGCGAAGAAGCGCGCGTCCGTGCTCCGGAAAGAGTTCTTGCCGTTCTGGTGAATCGTAGGCCTGGCCGATTACTCCAGCACTCCCTCACCCTTGCATGTTCGCATTTATGGGGCAGGTTCTTGCGGGTTGGCACGGGATTGCATTTGAGAGGTTCGAAAGGTCAACACTTTTCTACTTGTGCTACTTTGCGATCAACGTTGTTGAACGAACCGCTAGCGGAACCGCCGCTCTGGCCCCTAGCGTGTGGTTTTGGTGGGAGTTTCATTTTTGCTTGAGATTTGATCAAGAGAAGAGTGTCTCTGGACGTACTTGCTGCACGGTAGACGAAAGTCTTGTTCAAGAAACCGTTCGGTCCCGGTCCTTCCGCGGGCATGAGAAATGCAGCGTTTCCAGAATTTTTTCAAGTTGAAGAACTACAACTGTAGCGGGCTTGAACAATGTCATACCCAGGTCTACCCCATCCAACCGTATCCCTAAGTCATACACCACATGTCATTGCTACGCCAGCATTTTCCGAGGTGTTCACCACGTTGACATCACTTGTTCTACCTGACATGCACACTACTATCTCAACCGATCCAATGCTGCCACCTATTCGCGTGAGGCTTGAGGTGCCGTATGTTATGGTTGGTTTCAGCGGCTTCGATTGCCTCCCTTGCCGCTTGCTGACGAACGCCTCAAGGTCGGAACTCAAAATATCGCGACCAACCAGTGCCACAGCTTTCCGAACATGCCCCCGGGTGATATGCATATGGGTAAGCCACACGACCACTGGTGTAGTCGAACGGGATGTGAAGTCTTTACTACCACTGTAGCGGGTGGAGGGAAACCGGTTGGGTACTGGGCCCATTTCGAGTCTAACCATATGCACGATAGCAGCACGATAACTTTGTGCGCCGAAAGATCGTGGCGTTCCTCGCCTGAAGATAAAAAAGATATGCGCCATAAAGGCCATCAGACAGACCAAGAGGCAGCCCACCACACAAGCACGTATATGAGCAATGTACGCAGGGGTACACGCAGTACTAAAAATTGCACAGTTGTCTCCGATGTGGGGCAGACATGACATGTCCTTTCTTTCCGGATCCAAACTACTGCCTACTCCTGTAAGATCCAAACGGAAATACCACGGGAGGGTACACACAGCACCCTCAACATGTGATCAACCGGGGGTCCCGCTTGCGCGATGGAGAGCAGAGAGGCCGTACGGGCCCGCAATCAAGAAACATTCGGCGCAATCTTTTTCGAACAAAAAGAAAAAAGGACTAAGAAACACAGCTCAACCTCGGCCACAACATGGGAAACGTCCCAATAAGAAATATGATCGTGCGATACCCCCAACACATACGAAACAAGGGTTGTTGGGGGAGCGTGTCTAATAAGAAACGTTCCACTGTTGCTCCTTCCGTGCTCCCACCCCCCCCGTACCAGCTGAACAGTGTTTTTTTTTGTAGGTGGGGAGAGTGGCTATTGTCGCGCGCCCCCCCCGCCTCCGCGCTAGCTACTCCGCGCCTCCGCGGGCTGCTTTACCCACGGCTGTAGATGCTGTACTCAGCTTTTTAGCCACAGAAATAATAAGAAAATACTTCATCAGGAGGATGCGACAGTCCAAAGGAATAAGAAATGCATTTTTTTAAAGAAAATTAATCATTTCGGCTGATGCTTCGACCCAAAATTAGGGATTGAGCCTCGACCCGATGTTGACGTTTCATATCTCCGGGCCCGTACTGTAACGCACACCGGAGCCGATGTCAACGTACTGCCTCGGTGCCCGAACTACTGCGGTCGTGACTGCGGTGTGTGTGTGTGGTCCAGAATAGTGGGAGTGAAAGGAGGTTCGTGAGCTGTGTTCAATTTTCGCTCAAGGGAAGGTTTTCGGGACTACATGCACGATAGCATGCACGATAAACCCTCTATCTCTAGTACGGAATTGTATAATTTGCCGTGATTTTTATCCATTTTTTGCGATAGTGCTGAGTACGGTGGGGTCGATTTGCTGAGTGAGCCGAAAACATGTAAAATCAACCCAGTCACGTAACACTGATGAATTACACCCGTGACATCAGCTGGTGCTCAGCACAATACCATCTGCACAGTAACGCACATTAAAATACATTCCCTGTACAGTTCTCTACTGGGTCAATTGCCTGAGGCCAGTCTCGCTGCACTTGCCGGAGGCACGCCTTCGGCGTGCCTGTGAGTGGTCATGGCGTCAGGGATCAGAATGATCGGAACTGGTTCTCCGGTCGACGAACCGGCATGTTCTGTACTCGTGCTCTTCGCTCTTCTTCGCACTTTCACCAGCTGTTGTTACTCTTGGACTCTTTAACTCTCTGACTCCGTCTCGCCGGCACGTCCGCACTCCTGTGCGTATTGGTCAACAGCGGTTACCATGACTACGGAAGGTGAGACGGGTTGGGATTGAGGCAGCCACCGAAGAAGGGGATTCGCCAATGTACAATGAAAACCGATCTTGTGCAAACACCTCAACTACGGCTTGTAGATCTTCATTTCCCGAGGCGAAAAGGTGCTTGAAACCACCGCGTGATGGCACTTATGTGAAAAACATCGTACGTAACGATACAGTCAAGAAAAACAAAATCAAACACCAATGAAATATGCCCTGTATACTGTAGGCGATGTGTGCACATACGAGACTTTCCTTAGGGACGTGGGTGTCAAGCCTCCCGCGGGTGGCGTAAGACGACATGCATGTATGTATGTGCGCACAGCCCGAAAAGGGGCCGTGTGTCATACTTTTAATGGGCAGTTTTACAACGTTCGTATTCGGTACAACATGCATTGCGCACGTAGATATTCTGCGTTGGAGCCAGCTCGAGAGGACACAACTTGCCAGCGAAAAATCAGACGTCTTCCACGATGTCATGTGATGGCAGATTTCCAATAAGAACCGAATTTGAACCCGAAACAACACCACAAACAAAACATGGTCAACACTGCGGGTGCATGCGTTATGACTTGTCGTCTACAGCAGGAGTGTTTTACGTGGGCCGCTGCGAAGCGTAAAAAGAGCAAACGAAGGTACTGTTGGATATTGCAATGACACGACGAAGAGTCACAGCGATATGGAAACAGCGAATGATTGAATGAATGTGGAGGCAAGCAAAGAGGCAAATATTTCAACTGTCGGTTGATGGGGTTCAGAATAGGTTCGCCAGGGTTCGCCTGCGCACAACGCGCTCCCATGAGCGATTTTTAGCAACTTTGATCGTCACCCACACGCGTCATATGGAGGCCTACCGAGCTCCAGGCCAGAAGAGCGTTTATATACCGACGACCCTTCTACGTGCCCCTGAGAAGTAATCGCGAGAAAAAACATACCGCCGCGAGAGAAGAAAGAAAAAGCCGAGGTGTGCCGAGTCTGTTCATGTACATACATACACAGTCGCAAAGAGATTTACTTTTATGTAGATTTCAACACGCACGACGAACTAGTTTTCCCGAGGTGCGCAAGTTGTGGCCTACAATAATTTCACCATCTCAAGATCAACTCTCCTCCTTCTCCTTCTCCCACCCTCCACATTCATTCTCTTCCTCACACCTCTTTGTCACTCTCAAATCTCTTCCCGACGACCTACATAGCGCTTCGACGACGTCGGTCCCTACATCGCCGCTCCAGGTGGGTAAGCTTTGGTGAGAGGTATAGACAATAAGAAGGGATGATCTCATCGTGTCGATGGATGACGAAGTTTGATATATGCATGAAGCGGCAAGCGCAAATTCAGGTAGAAGATGGTTCAGTACATTGCGTAGCAAACTCTGAGGATTGAAGATGCAGAGACTGAGTAACAAATGGAGGAGCTACACACATAGGACGCTCAACATGCATACCTCAAGTTATTGGTGCTCAACGGGCTTGGACGGGCATGCTTCTGATGAGCCTTCATCCCCGAAAATGTTCAAAAGTCTAGATATGCTCTGATTCGGCCGAAAGAACCACAGCTCAACAGGCTACATGTATGTACGTGCTGTAGACTCTGGAAGTTGACAAAATTGATGGATGAATGATCACGAAGCAGCGTTGTCAGTTTTAAGCCGAATCCCTGCCAAGCGAGAGCCACCATCTCATCGGCTGTTGGAAAAAAGCTACCACTTTCGACTGTATTTCACTCGCCCTCACTAAGGTTAAGCCCGAGTGGTGCATCCGGCGGTGCTTGACTGCCTCGGTTTTGGCGGTCTCGACATCAGACTGACAGCTGCTGCTCCAATACGATTATATATCTGCCGTCGGCACACTCTGATGCTTGGAGGCATGCGTATCTGAGGCACAGATCGCACCGAGTCCAAGGTCCATTCAAGCTATAACACCTTGGGCACACTTTCTTTTTAAATCTCTGACGGTGTGTCATCTTCTTCAAACTTAGAATGCCAAGTCATTTTGAATTGACCTGCCAGCTCTCGACACTCCCGCGAATTTCGGCCGAATAGAAACTATTCTGGATCAACCGGCTATAGGGATTGGCGGACATATGAACTTGCATTTTCTATGCACAGGGCAGTACGTACCCCAGTAAGAGGTGCCGTATTTTCTCTGGACCTGAGAAAGCTATTGTTTCGAGGCAAGTCTCTGTGTGTGCGAACTCAGTGTGTGCGAACTCATACGTCGGTGGAGTTTTTCGAACCCCTAGCGAAAATTGCTTCTATCACCGACGATACAACACCGTGACCCGATCCTGACCGTAGTGGTCGGGTCATGACTAAGTCATGACCCGGTCATGATCCAGTCATGATAATGTCATTGCCGAGTCGCAATCTTGGCAGGACCACGTCGCGATGAGCGACTCATGACCGAGACGTGATCATGTCATCTCCGTATCGTGACCTAACCACCACCTTGTGGGCTGCCCAGATTAACTGCATCGACGCCAATCTACTACAGTATGCCGGTACAACCACCTACTATAGAATTTTTCCCATCAAAGCCATGCAGTGGCGACAACGCCGGCACGCCAACCTGAACTTATCTACCCAGCGCCAACCTACTTGCAGCACCTATCGTGTGGGTTTGGGGTTCGGGTTGGTTAGAGTTA